AGTACACCAACACTTTACATCGTACAGAATGGGCTCCGTCACTAGACTGTTCAACTCACATTTCCGTCACGAACCAGGTGTACTTGCATAAAGTATTACTTACGAACTATTTTGGCGCCATGAAGTTGGCACTTCATGGCGCACTGCTGAACGCTTCCTCCGAAGTGGAGGCACTGCAGGAGGTGGAAGATTATATGATGCGATGCGTTTTAGGGACGTTGCGGGACCTTGAGGTCATTGCGGAGGTTGCTTTGGAACTGCAAAGCGGGACAATGATTGAAGGTGGCCATCGTCCTCGACACGCCTTTTCGTCGTCCTTGTCGTCGGTCCGAAATGAGTTCTCGAAGCGGGGTCATGTCATTTTGCCCGACATATTCCTGCTGAACAATATCCTTTTTTTGCTGGAGAGTTACCGCAAGGAGGAATGCTTCCATGTGCGTCGAATTCCCACAGATGACCCCGAACACCTAAAGAAGAAAAGGAAATCTGAAGTGCCATCCGTTCCAATCGTTTCGAATATTATTGCCATGCTGGAGGATGAAAAGGGACGATTTGTCGAGGACTTTGCTGCCTCGTGGTCTGAGTGCTTCCCATCTGTACGGGAGAATCCACAGTTGGCAAGCATAACCCAGGAAAGTGGTGAGTTGCGCAAGCCACAACGCATGGCAGTGAAGCGTTGGTACAAACAGGTGGCAGATAACTTGACCGAAAGGATCTATGCCTGCCGCGCATTTGCAGTTCTTGACATATCGCAGCGAAATATACTAATTGAAGCTTCCGTGGGCGCAGTGCAAGATGGTTTCACCACGTTTGAAACAATTTTAGGGGGGAGAACGTGGTCTAGTCGTCCCATTAAATGGATGGTGCAAGGGGTGGAGCAATGGGCAGATCAATTAAGTAAGGCTTTCTAAGGTGCAAAATATTTGGCTGTTTCCTTGCGGTGACAAGTGCTTTTGTCCGCTATCGTGTTTGCATGCGTCCGTAGAGTATGTATGGATTCATTTCTGGCATTGAAGGGAGTGTATTTTAGAGGAGATATGTCCGACCTCTTTTTCTCCTCTTACCGCTAATACCCCCTTCCGTGCACTCTAATAAAAATTTTTATTTTTTATCCCAGTTCTTTTTTTTTTGTGTGTGTATGTGTACGTTGAAGCAATAAAAGGAGGAATAATAATAATAACTACAACAAAAAGGGACAACGTGAACGTGCTGGAAAGGGAAACAAGCTGTGTTTGTGTGGTTGGATCGTTCAATGGATCATCGGTCTGCGCTGCCAAATGAAAGCCCATCGGATCACGTCCGTTTGGCGCTTCAGCCGCGGGAAGTGAAATTCTGCGACCTCGCGCCGTCGCTCGGCAGGCGGGCGATGGATTCCCCGCCGAAGTACGAAAAACGAGGTTTTCGACCGGCTCTGCAGAAATTTGCGCACTCGCACGCGGCAAAAGCGACAAAGACGCCACTCACTGATGGTTTGGAGGCGGAGAGCGGCGACGAGGAGGAGCGACGACGCTGCCGAAGAAGAGGGGGACCTCTCGAGGTGGGTGTAGGGCATAATTTGAAGTCACTAAAACCCAAAACGAGAAAGTCCCCGAGGGCATGTGTTCATGCAGAGCCGTTGACGGAGCAGATGCAAATATCGGGAAATGCGCTTTGGGGGGAAGACTGCGGTTTTAGTGCTTTAAATAGCTTAGCTGTTTTAGAAAAGTACGTGAAGTACGAGCGACGACTCAAGGAGGAACTCTCTCGAACTCATGCGGCAAAGATGTTGGCTTTTCGTAATGTTATAATTGTGTATTTAGCTTCCGCTAAACAATGTGGGAAACCGATCTTGGGACGCCGTAGAGCCGGTGCAGAGGTTGCCCTCGCCCAGTGCGCGGTGGTTACGCAAACCCTTATTGTGACGATACAGAGTTACATTCGTGCGTTTCAGTCACGAAAGCATGCCGTCGTTCGGCGACATTTTAGGCGTAATGGTTTGAGTCCTGACCTCTGGAACAATTCCTCAGAGCGGGCTTTGCAGCTCAAAGAACGTGAGCCTAGTACCGGAAGCGCCCTCTCGGAGACCACTAGTTCGCTTCAGGAATTGTTGGATGAGGCGGAAATTGGCCGTCTTAAACAGCTTTATTTTGATTATTACGACTGCGATGTGTATGTTATTCCAGGAACACGACCCGATAGCAGTATCCCATCAAATGCCTTGTTGCTAGACTCCCTGAGTGCCCATGATCCCTTTTTGCCTGATACTGACGGCGGGGTGGTGAGGCATTCATCGTCCTTGTCAACATCCAGCATATCTTCTGTGGAATGAAAGTGGATGGCTCCCATCAATAAATATGTAAACTGATGTGTATATTTGGATGTATATGTGTATGTATGGAGTTGCATATTTTGAGGGTCTCATTTTGGGAGTGAGAGAAGAAAAAACTTATTTTTACCTATGAATGTGCTTTGAGTATTTTTTTTGGTCGTTTTTTTTTTCTTTCTTTTGGTATTATTGTGTCGTTTGGAGTACAATAGGTTCTTTGTCTTCCTCTTTCTGTGTGAGATTATGTGTATAACCGCCTTTTTTCCCTCTTATAGTTTTATTTTTATTTCCTTGGGGAGAGCGAGTGGTCGTTTCTCTTTTTTTTTTTTTTTTTTTTTTTTTTTTTTTTTTTTTTTTTTGCTAGAACGCCTTTCTTGGCGGAGGGTGAGTGGGTGGGACAATTGCCTATAAAGATATACACCTACATATTTTAAAGTTCCAAGAGGAAGAAGAAGAATGATGGACCAGACGCAGTGCGTTCCTAATGACTTTTCAAGATGTGGTCCTTTTGAAGAAGACAAGGGTGAATTTGCCTCTAATTCATTTGGTGCGGGTGGTCTCATCCTCCCTCGGCCACAGGTACCTTTGCGAGTATACACTCCCTTCTTTGCCACAGTCCCGTTCCCTAGCGTACTTAATGGCTCTCATGTAGAGTATTTTTTGGTGGCTCTCAAACAGCTTTCACACCTGGTGCATGAGGTGGCGGTAGGCTTATTGCCCGGTAAGGACGATGTGTGCGACGTCAAAAGGACTTTCCTCATTTTCCATATTAGCCATTTTGTTGATGTTAGCTTTGCGGACACGGTCTTTATGGAGTCACTGACTCCTGTGAGACCCGATGATACCGCCATTTCAGAGTATATTGGGCTTATTCAATGGTTGGGGGATCGGTTTGTGACACGGTGGAGGGAAGCAACAGAACAAAAGACGCTATGCTCATCGATGAGCGCATCCAATTCCTTTCGAAGGTTGTGGATCGCGGTAAAGAACACGGCTGACGCCATCAGTTCACATACAGTGCTACAAGGAGAAATATTTGATCGTATTTGTATCCGCCTACCCAAGCGACGACTATTAGAGTTCTACATAACGGAAGGGAACATTCCGTCATGTTTTTGTATTGGTTGCCTTGTGTGGAGTTCTCTGACCGCTTTTGCGTTTGTTATCTTGGTGTGGATGGCACGGGGTTCCTTCTCGCAGTGGTGCTCTTTGGCAATCACGATCTTGACAGTAATAAACTTTTCTGGATTCCTATGTTTTCTTTACGCACTCGTATTACGGCAATCCCGGTTGCAATGGCTTTCTGAGCTGCTTGCGGAGAATCACCTTGCGGGGTCTATCGCGTCTCAATCGACGCGCACAAGTTCTCGGGTGGGAAAAGATGTTGTGTTCACCATCCGGAGTAAAGAAGATGTCGCATTTACGCTAGCGATAAAGTCATGTGTGTTGAACCGGCAGATTATCTTGATTGGCATCGTGAACACAAAGTCACTGGTGATTTGTAGCTGGAATCGTGCTGCCCACATGGCCACAGGCATTGCACCAGAGCAGGTGATAGGAAAATCACTTGAGGCTGTCATGGAGGCCAAGAGTATCGCGACAGCCCGTCGCTTGCTGATGGAATTAAGGGATAAACCCCGGCAACAGCAGCGGTTGCTGCTAAACAACGCAAGGAAAAATTTCCCTGTTACTATTAAAGCGACTGCCACAATTGCCCATGTGGACGGAATCCCTATTGGCATGTTTGCTGGAACAGTTGTTGATGACGAACAGCAAGCAATGATGTCATATTTTTCACGTGTGGATACGTACGCGGCACTTCGTGCCTTGAGATACTCCGGATGTGCTTCCTCCATTCTTCACACATTAGTGTTAAGTAATGAATGGGATGCACTGAAGCGACGCACAACCAATGCAATGCGTAGTTGGTGTTTGGTTACCCTAGAGGAGTTTTTAAGGCCCTTGAAGGAAATTCCCGAGTCATCTCTTAAAATGCATGTATCCGAAAGTACCCCAAAACAGTTTCAATGCGATTACAATGGCATCAAAGAATTTCTCGCAAAATTAAAACAATGGTTTTTTCCCGAAGACGATAGTTGCCTGGAACTCATGGTGGCCTGTGTGACGTGTGGAATAGAGGGCTATTTGGCTCTTCAGTTTGATGTCACGGTGCCGGACGATTCAATTGTATCGCTTAGGCTTAAAGATGAGACGTTGGAGCTTCTCAGCCTTATTGGTTGTCTTACCCTAAATTCCAGTACTCATTTTCAATTTTTTATCCCCATTGCTCTTAGGCCATTTGATATGACATTGGATAGCGAGGGCCGCAATGGGCATTCTGGTAAGCACCCTTTTATGTGTACATTTCTTCTGCATGAACCTGTTGTTGCTTACAGGCGTCACTTCTATGGGATATGCGACGAATCACGGCACCGAATTTTCCCCGTCAGCTCTCTTTCGTCTCTCAAAAATTTGTTGAGTAATTTTTTAAATGAAGTCACGGCGGTGATTTTAAGTGCCGCATCGCCTGATTTTGGATCGATGTTGAGTTACTGTCGAGAGAAGGGTCAATTTGTGTTGGTGGTTCGAGAGGGCTCTGAAAGGAGCAACGATGGTACTCCTGATCCAAGCGCTGACGGTCCTCCAAGTGATGTGGTGAAGGATGGGGATTATATTTTACACAGGCCCCTTTGTGAAGAAAGATGGGGGTATTTTTTGGAATATTTGTACGATACCAGAAATCCGGAATGTAATGTGGTCCCACACGCTCCAATGGAGTTGACTGTGATTCGACAAATCGGTAGGGGTTCATGCAGTTTTGTGGATCTTGTACAAGACAAGCTTACCGGGGGTTATATGGCGTGTAAGACGGTCTTCATTAGCCACGAACGGACCCTGGATGCCCTACGGGAGGAGGTGGATATTATGCGCCAGTGCTCCAGTCCTTTTATTGTGAAGTGCATTGTTGCCTCGCATTCGCCGTCTACCGCGGAGTTTCGTATGATTTTACAGTTTTGCCCCGATTCCCTGGAGCGACATGCTCGAAGAAAAAGAATCAAATTATCGCAATTGCCACTGTACGCCTTTCAGTTACTCAGCGCGGTCCAACATTTGCACGAGAACGGAATTGCCCACCGTGACATTAAACCTGCAAATATTTTGATGATGAATGAAAAACATTTGAAATTGGCAGATTTTGGCTCCGCACAAAGAAAAAAATTAAAGGAGGGTAGCGTGTATGGCGTAACCGCACAGTTTATGGCACCCGAGCGACTTCTTTTTCTACCGGAGGAAGAAGAAATTGTCTGGCGAGAAACCCCAATGGATGGACTTTTTGCCGAAGATATTTGGTCTGTTGGGTTAACGTTACTAGACATTATTGGGATTTATCCTCTGGTGTTGAAAAGTCTAAATAATGTAAAAGACTTTTTGGGCTTTTACATGCAACTGCGAGACAGTGGTGACGAGCTCCCATTTGAACTTCCCAAAGAAGATTCAACCGATTCGCATGAGAGGCTGTGTGCCTTCTATGATTTTATTAGGGGTATGCTCCAGTTGCAGCCAAAAAGGCGTCCACGTGCCAGTGAACTCCTCCAGCATTTATTTTTGAGGGGCGCCAAAAATGAGTGTGACTTTAATGGAGAACTTGTGGTGCCAGGATCAAACCTGTGGCTAGATCCTGTGTCATGGTCGAGTCATCACTTGAACGATAGTCTCCTTCCATCGCAGCATTCTTTTTTCACGGCATCTGCTTCAGATGAAGAACCGGAGGACGGCTTTTCAGAGGAGGCTTTCAGGTCTGTCGTCAATTTAGATGGCGTTTGCTTGTGATGTGGGAGAAAAGTGTTAATAAATTTTTTTGGTTATTTTTGTTACGGTTTTGTTCTGGACTCTTGTCTGACCTATATATATATATATATATATATGCATATATTACCGCCTGAATCTTAACAACGCGAGTACACGTGTGTGTGTGTGTAGGTGTTTCTGCTGATTCTTGGGGTGCGATTATCGCTTTTCCGAACAGTTTATTTCATTTTATTTTTTCTCCTTTTTTTTATTTTTGTTGATTTTTTTTATATTTTTTTTTGCATCTGAGTGGAGTGAGTGGATTTCTGGTGGGGATGGGGGAGGGGCTTGTTTTTCACGCATGTGGGTCGTTGGGAGTTGACACCTTTTTTGCAGTTCTTTTTTTTTGCTTTTTGTTTTGTTTTGTTTTTATTCCCCGCCCTCTTTTTGTGTGTTTCCCCCTTTAGTTGTGGAGTCTTGTCTTCTTAGTTGTTCCTTTTGCCGGGTCTTTGGCCGCATGCCTGTTTGGCGGAGGAGAAAAACGACGGCTGCTGCAGTTCCGTTGGGATCGGGAAGTGACTCTGAGTCCACATCGGATGATCAGCATGCGTACTCGAGCTCGGTCTCGGAGTTCTCGTGCTCTGAGGCCCCGTCTCAGTGCGGGCGGCAGATGCCACCCCGTCGACCGCGTAGCGTGACGTCCTTCCCGACATCCGGTGCCGGTGGCCCTTTCAATTTAGCGCTTTTGCCGTCGTCACGGAATGGGACTCTCCGTTCATTTATGTTGTCACCCTGTCGGTTTGCAAGAACGCAGTCCAATCCTCTGTTTGCAGGCGCCTCTTGGGAACATGATTCTGCCCGCAACGCCTCTTTGCAGGAAATCCCCGTTCCAAGACGGTTACTTCCACGACAACGACAAAGAGAGACGATGCGTATGCTCATTATTGGTGCCCCACAGGTTGGGAAATCTTCTTTAGTAAACAGTTACCGTGCAGCAGTGACAAACAATACAAAGTGGCCTGCCGCACCGGTGGGTATTTGCGGTTTTTGTGGAACCACTACCGTTGATCCCTTCCCTAATCATCCCTCAGAGCCGACGTGGTTGTGCATCGACACGCCGGGGAGGTTCTACGACGCCAGTAGTCAGCAACTCCTCCAAAAACTTTTTTTGGGAGTGCCGTGGAAAACACGACTCGCTGGCAAGGATGCCCTGCGTCTGGAGGAGATTGAAAGGCTTCCCGTGGTTTCTGAAAACAGTGCTCATCAGTGCATTGTGGTTGTTTCCGCTATAGATTTGATAAAAGACAATGGTTGGATGAATGTTTTCTTTTGGAAATCACGTTACGAATCAGCTCCTGATGCCGACGGTGTTGTCATGAACCTTCAGGGTCTTATTTCCTCTGTGCGCTCATTTTTACACGATGCTTCGCCATTTGTTGTGATATCCAAGATGGATCTCGTCGGAGGTGCTGGAAATGCGGCGGCTCGACGGGCCATATCGTCCATGTTAGCGCGCTGCATTCCACTGAATCGCTTGTACTTTTGTGCATCCCCAAATGATGAATCTTCGTATGAGACCAAACGCCCTCACACAGTGGATTTGGATACTCGAGTGAGCCTAATTCGGTTACACGAGGATTTGTCGTTGGCTTTCCGCTGGAGGAGAACTATTGAGGAAGACGCATGAAAGTTTTGCTTTGTTTTGTTCTGAGAAGAAAAATATATGCTCGTGAATGGAATGGGTGAAGTGACAGGGGCAAAAAGATGCAGTTGTGGGGAGTGATCCATGATTCGCACAATGTTTCCCTATTGATATATGTGTGTATTGTTTTATGTGTAAATATATGTCTGTTCTTATCTCTAGAGTTGGTTTTAGTAATTAGAAAAAAATTTTGTTTGCAAATTTTTTCTTTTCTCTCTCTCTCTTTTTCTTTCTTTTTCTCACGCGTATGTAGACCCCTCCCCTGTTGTCTGAAGAGATCCGGTAGAGAGAAATATATTTTTTTTTTGTTTTTTTGTATTGCTATCCATGTCTTCTTCCGAGACGGAGTCTTCATGGCAACTGCGGAGTGGCGATATTGTTTTAATGGACCGAAGGTGCATGGCGATGCGAAACCCCATAGGGATCGCCATCTGTCTTCTTAACAAGACGGAATGTCGTTTTGACCACGTCGCAATGATCATGAAACTCAGTGAGGAGGAACTGCGACGGGAAAGTCAGAATAGCATTCTCAGCCACACGAGTTCCATCTCCCCTTCGCGCACTTATGTTCTGGAGACCAATCTGAATGGCATCACATTGAGATCGTTAGAAGATCGTGTAGCAAGGTCTTCCGCAAATCAAATATCGGCCCGTTTTTTGCACATGGGAGGGGATCGATCTCAGCTTGAAGCACGGATGGTGGACCATTTGAGGACGCTGTTTAAAAACCCCTACAAGACTAGTCCCTTTGGTTTTTTGCCTTCGTTTTTCACCACACCAGACAAGATGGATCGCGTTAAGGCGGCACATAAGTTGCATCTCCTTGCCAGGGAAATAGCGCGCATTGACGATCTCAAACCCGATAAATGCTCCACGGAAGATGCCGCCATTTTACGACGCCTTCGGAAGGTTTACGTCGATGCCACCGTATTTCTGGCAGATGTGTATTTCCCGCATTTACAACGAATTGATGGCAATGAAGTTTCTTCTCTCGAGTGGGGTGAGGGGCACTTTGCCGTGGATGGAAGTAATACGGAACATGGCCTCTTTTGCTCCGAACTCATTGCACGCTTGTGGCAGGGAAGTGGTATGTTGACAGGATTTCCTCCTGCGTCCTCGTTTCGCCCTTTTGATTTTTTGGATGATACTCGATTCAATTTTTTGACTCCTACGACGCTTTTTGGAGAAATAATCCCTTTAAAAGGAGGTAGGGGTGCTCCTGTGCAACTGTGGCGTGATGCCGAAGAAGAACCGAAGACCGTCACGGGGTGCTTGAATTTTTACCGTCATATTGGTGGTGATTTGTCCGTTGAAGGAGGCTTGAAGCCCATTTATCGCTGGTTGGTTCAGTCGAATACAAATCGAGAGGTGAATGACGATCTCGACATTAATTTGTTCTCCACAGGTTTGTTGTTCGCCCTCACTGGTTTGATTCTTGCCCCTCTCCGAATGCGATGGATTGAGTGCCAATTGGGGCTGTTGTTGCGTCGTGGCAGTATGTGGTCGTTGGCTGCAGGGTTTCTGGTTAGAGATATACTCTGCGCCATGACGCAGACCCTTACTGCATGCATCGCTCTTCGCTGTTTCTTGCCATCCCAGTCAATGTCTGCGTCAACCTCGTGTTTGTTGGGGCCACCGTTGTTTGAGTCCAAGTTGTTTGACACCCGTCACCCGTACTATTACGTCTGTGCGGTGTTGCTCACGGCAAATGCGGTGTCCCATTTAGCGACGACACCATTACTGAACGCCGTGCTGTTACATCACTTTGGTCCCGTGACGCCTCGCCCCTGGCCAATGCGCTCCCTCATGCGGGGTGTCATTTCTCTGTGGCCCATGGCCATTCTTTTACCTTACCAGGCCACTTGGATAACTTGGTATGAAACGGCAGGTTCGGCATTTATTCCGACTCCTTCTTCCATACTTCGTCGACGGCCGGATTTGCTGGATACGGACGAGTGGCGGTATTTCAGATATAAAGCAATAACTGGTTCTTTTGCTGCCACGGCTGCTCTGGATTTGGTTCTTTACCCCCTTCAGACTCTCTGCTGGCGTTCCCTACTGGCGGAAGTTTATCGACCTGCACCATCGCCAAGCTACGGAAGGCGACTTTACGCCGGTTACGGTTTTCGTTTTGCTGGAATGTAATGCACTGGTGACACGACGTTATCTTTTTCCTTTTTGGAGTACTGTAA